CCCCCCCCCCCTCCCCCTCACTCCACCACCTCGGCTTCTTCTCCGCCCCTTCTATCTCATTCCTACTCAATTATAATTTAACATTAATTATTTCACATTAATTTCTTATTACTATTCATGAATTCATAAAAGTAGTTAAATTAGTTATATTTGATAGTTAAATTTGATTTTAATTAACCACTCATTAATTCCACATAATTTCACATTATTATTTCACATTAATTATTTCACGTTAATTTCTCATTTTATAATTGAAAATTATTTCTCAACCACTCATTTTTTTGTTAGTTAAATTTGACTTTAGTTGTCTATCTTTGATGAAATTTTCCTTAAATTTGTTTATTTTTTGTGACAAACATAGATGGATGAAGAATAGTATTGTGCATTGACGAATTTTAGAGGAAATAATCACTTTTAAAATTAAATGTCAATGGGAGTTACAAAGATTTGGTTGTCGCAATGCAAAGTCCAATTGCTAGTAGTGCAAGCATGATACACTTGACTTACAAAGTACCTCACACACAAGAAATTTTTGTGCTACTTGCAAACTTTATCTATAAACCCAATCATTATTAATTGTATCTTTAAACCCACTTATCTTTTTGTATTTGTCTTTAAACCCAACTTTCAAAATACAATACTTGCATATGTGGGGCCCTCTAAGTTTTTCATTAAATGCCAATTACAACCTTTCAGTTTTTATCTCATGTAAGTAGGCCCCTTTTAAAAAATGTAAAAATTAAGAAAATGAAGAGAGAGAGAGAGAGAGAGAGAGAAACGAGGGTTCCCTGTTTCTCTCCTCTCTCGCGCCTAACTGTATTTAATGCGGTTAGGCGCGGGGGAAGAGTCCTCCCTCTCCCCTCCCTTTCTCTCACTTCATTTCTCAATTAACTTCCCTCTCTCACTCCATTACTATATTCTTTCACACTCTCTTATAAACCCATCAATTAATTCTCACCCACTTATCAATCCATCAGTAATGTGTAATTTTGGTGGATATTCATCACTTTCTTAGCAATTGAAGGTATAATTTTGCATTTTACTCAACTACCAAGTATATACCATTAATTTCTCATTTTATTCATGACAATTATTTAACATTATTATTCATTAATTCCTAAAAATTAGTTAAATTTGTTATATTTGATAAAATGTTAGTTAAATAGGGTTTAATCAACCACACATAATTTCACATTAATTATTTCACATGATTATTTCACATTAATTTCTCATTATTATTCATGAATACATAAAAATAGTTAAATTAGTTAATTTGATGAAATTTTAGTTAAATTTGATTTTAGTCAACCACTCATTAATTCCACGTAATTTCACATTAATTATTTCACATTAATTTCTCATTTTATAATTGAAAATTATTTCTCAACCACTCATTTTTTTGTTAGTTAAATTTGATTTTAGTTGTCTATTTTTGATAAAATTTTCCTTAAATTTGTTTATTTTTTGTGACAAACATAGATGGATGAAGAATAGTATTGTGCATTGATGAATTTTAGAGGAAATAATCACTTTTAAAATTAAATGTCAACGGGAGTTACAAAGATTTGGCGATTGCAATGCAAAGTCTAATTGATTGTAGTGCAAACATGATGCACTTGACTTACGAAGTACCTCACACACAAGAAATTTATGTATATTTATGTGATGATGATGATGTCTTGATAATGTTCAATATACATCGAAGTTGTAAGGAGAATATAGTTGTCATGAACACTGAGATGAATCAAGAGATATTGTTTAGCTAATACTGTCCATATAAGGTAATTTACACTTTTGATATATTTTTATACTTTTACCATCAATTCTAAAGTTCTCACTTTCTTTAACTCTTGTACAACTTTCTATGCAGAAATTTGTACATCTCCTCTAGTGAAAAACATGTTTCTTATTCACAAAATCCTTCGTCTTCACAAAATATGTATCGGGAAGTTAGGAGCTCTAGTATGATTCCTCTTGCATGGCACAATGCAATTAGAAGAGTTGATCAATAATTTGATGATGTTGAGCATTGTCGGTGGAGTTTAAGTAATTACTCTATTGCATGAGGGTTTAGCTTTGTTTTTGTAAAAAATAAACACAAAAGAGTGACAACAAAATGCAAGGTCGCAAACTGCAAATGGGTGGTTCATTGCACCCGTCGTAGAGATATAGACGAGCATCTTGTAAGTGAAATGCTAATCATCTCAAATCCATCTTGAAGGAACAACTCACTTATCGCCCAATTGATTTCCTGAAGAAGCTTAAAATGAAATTTGGTTTGAACATCCCTTATCATAGAATTTGGTGGGGAAATGAGCTAGCTCAACGTGAATTGTATGGTGATACTAAATATTCATATGACCAATGTAGGCTGTCTAAAAATCACAATAGATAGCTTATCCTCCATCAAACACCGATGATGGAAGTTACAATCTGACGACTTCCAGAAGGCTACAATTTGAAGACTTTCACGTAGATCGCTGAAGGTTATAATCTGACGACCTTCACGACAACCGATGAGAGCTCTAGTTTAACAGCATTCACAATCAACATCGGGAGTTACAATCTGACGACTCTCATATTTTCAAAGAGCCAAGACGAAGATTACAAGACAATGATCTTTGCAACGCTATGACAAAAGAGATTACTTTGTGATAATCTCTTCAAGACAAGACGCGGAGGTCCTCCCCGTGTGTCAACATCAAAACGCTGGGGTCGATCCCGCGTTACAACATCAAAACGCCAGGGTCGAACCCGCGTTACAACATCAAAACGCCAGGGTCGAACCCGCGTTACAACATCAAAACGCCAGGGTCGAACCCGCGTTACAACATCAAAACGCTGGAGTCGATCCCGCGTTATAACATCAAAACACGAGGGTCGAACCCACGTTACAACATCAAAACGCCAGGGTCAAACCCGCGTTACAACATCAAAACGCTGAAGTCGGACCCGCGTTACAACAAGCGAAACGTGATCGACCCTCGCGTTCTGGATGTTCAGTCAACACCCAACCTCGCGTCTCAATCCTAAGACGCGAGGTTAGGGTCCTGAACGCCAGGTTGGGCATTTGACTCATTCAAATATGAGTCGAACGGTTTCAGAACCGTTTTCCCCACGATCTGAGGAAATCATGCCCACTTAGGAGCGGATTTAGAGGGCAGTTACACCCCCTTAATCCCCTATAAAAGCGAGTAAACTCAACTGAGTTCAGGGTTGGAACTTCTTGGCTCAGATCGACCACTGAAGGCTGGCTTTTTGGAACGGAAGAGTTGACAGCAGGTTGGATTTTCAGGATCTCAACCACTCAGGTTTGGTAATTCAACAGCGGCAGCAGTAAAATCCTTGGAGATAGGGTTTTTGAATCAAATTCAGAAGATCAAATCTGAGAGGATTCTTCAGCAACAGAATATCAGCTTGGTCATTAACCGAATTTTCGGTTCTAACAACTCTATTAACAGAGTTATAACTCGTTCAGAGTTCTTAAACTCATTCAGAGTTATCCATTAAACTTTCCACAGAAGTTCATCGTTCCCACGAGATAGAAGACGGTCGGATCGTCAACGGAGAGAAAATTCGACGAGAGCAATCGAAGGAGGCATTCCATCGCTACCGAGAAGAACCCAGTTTTAAACAAAGGAGAAAATCAAATTCGTTCTCTTCTCTTTTGTAATTAAATTGTAACCAGAATCAAAGGAATACAAGTCAATTTTCTTTGTTCTCTTCTTTGCAATTTTCCCTACGTACAACCAACTCCGATGGTTTAAGGATAAAGTTATGGAAACTAATCCGGGATCAATTGTTCACTTAGAGCATGAAGATGGAATATTTACAAGAGTATTTGTGTCTTATTATACTTGTTGGAAGGGGTTTATGGAGGGATGTAGGCTAATGTTATTCTTCGATGGTACACATCTTTTTGATAGGTATGGTAGAGGTCAATCTAATCAAAACTTGTATTAATATACCACTTCATAGTAAAATATTATACTTTGTTTCATGATTGTTCTTCCCTTTTATAGGTGTAAAGGAACCTTACTTACCGCAACTATTCAGAATGGAGATGGGGGAATGTTTTCCGTAGCAATTTGCATATGTGGGACGGAGAATAAGAGTAATTGTGAATGGTTTTTGGAATGTATTCGAGACATTCTCTTCAATGATGAAGATCCATATACTCCAGATGATGAGTTGGTGTTAGTCTATAGGCAATAAAAATTGTCTTTAAACCCTATCAGAGAAGTTTAGAGCAAGACTGCTAAAACCTTAACCGAGAGAGCAAAAAAGGGGAAAACGCTAATATCTCTCAAACCGTAAGGAATTTGGTGAAATGGAGGCGGCAAACCCACTTTAGGGTTTGGTTGGCCCCGTCTCGTTGAGATAGGCGATTTTCATATATAATAATTCGTCCAATTCTGAGTTATGTTTTGAAAGTTACGACCTGTTCTTCGCCTAAAAGCTTCAAGCTTTAAGCTCGCCTGAATGAGGCTGGCTCGCCTGCACAGCCTCACCTACCAAGTTCGCCTGTCAAGCTTTAAGCTCGCCTGAATGAGGCTGGCTCGCCTGCACAGCCTCACCTACCAAGTTCGCCTGCATATTTGAAGTTTGCCTGCACATGGCAAGCTTACCCGACAGTTAGGAGCTCGC